CTAGGTTTGCTGAAGCCTATATTATATCTAAAAACAGCAGGGTGAGAAAGTATATCTGGGGATTGGAGTCGAATCTTCGGAAATATGTAATATCCAGGAATCCGATAACATTTCAGGCGGCAGTTGATGCTGCTGAAATACTGGAACAAGATATTAACCGACAACCGCAAGAAAAGGTTGGAGAGAAAAGAAAGGGGGACGTTAATATTACTGATTTCCATAGACCGAGGTTTATGGAAAATGTGAACCGACCACTCTCAAGGTTTAATGATAAGGCGTGTATCCGATGTCATAAAATACATCAGGGGAATTGCAATACAGAATCTCGAGTATGCTTTAAATGTCAGGAATCTGGACATATAGCTCGAGATTGTCGGATGATGCGAAGATGTTATATTTGTAATTCACCCCAACATATAAGTACTGATTGTCCGCAAGCAAAGAATAGAGGATTTGGTTTTGCTGGAGGTCGGGGATMTGGATATTCTGAGGGTCGAGGATCTGGGTATGTGCCAACAGGTCGTGGYCAAGTSGAWAATCGTGTWAATACTAGTGGACGGGGAGGAACAAGACCAATAGAGTCTAATGCAAARGGAAGAGCCTTTCAAATGACGAGAGKTGAGGCAGAAGAGCAYCCTGAAGTGGTGACAGGTACATTYCTYRTTAATTCAGTATGTGCCAAAGTTTTATTTGATTCGGGTGCAAATTGTTCTTTTGTGTCACCATCATTTGTTCACTACACACATTTAAAATCTAAAGCGTTAAGTGAAGTTCTAATTGTGGAAACAGCAAATGATAGTGAGGTTTTGGTGAAGGAAATAATTGATGATTGTGTTATAAGTATAGAAGGATGTGAGGTACCTATACATATTTCTTTTACCTCTAAGAGAATTTGATGTGGTTATAGGCATGGATTGGTTAGCTGAAAACCGAGCCAATATAGTCTGTAATGAAAAGATGATTCATATAGACTTACCTGAGAAAGGAAGGGTTGTGATATATGGAGATAAGCGTGATCGTTACTCTAGTCTAATTACAGTTTTGAAGGCTAGAAAGTATGTGCAGAAAAGATGTGCTAGTTTTCTGGCATATGCTATAGATGTGAAGAAAGAGAAGGGAAAGATGGGGGATATTCCAGTTGTAAGGGAATTTCCTGAGGTATTTCYGRAAGATTTGATAAATTTACCTCCGGATCGAATGATAGATTTCCAGATTRAATTAATTCCTAGAGCAACACCTGTTGCACGTGCTCCATATCGTTTAGCTCCTTCTGTGTTAAAGGAATTAATGTCTCAATTGAAAGAACTGTTAGATAAAGGTTTTATCAGACCAAGTACTTCTCCGTGGGGTGCACCGGTKTTGTTTGTGAAAAAGAAGGATGGATCAATGAGGATGTGTATTGATTATCAGGAGTTGAATAAATTGACAATCAAGAACAAGTATCCTCTCCCAAGAATTGATGATTTGTTTGATCAATTGGTTGGGGCTACTTATTTTTCAAAAATTGATTTGCGGTCTGGTTATCATCAATTGAAGATCCGAGATGAGGATGTGTTTAAAACAGCATTTCGTACACGTTATGGTCATTATGAGTTTCTGGTAATGCCATTTGGACTCACAAATGAGCCTGCAGCATTTATGGATATGATGAATAGAGTGTGTAGTCCTTATCTGGATAAATTTCTGATTGTTTTCATTGATGATATTCTGATATATTCCCGATCGGAAGAAGAGCATGCACATCATTTGAGATTAATTCTGGAATTATTGAAACAAGAGAAATTGTATGTCGGACAAGAGGTGACCAGATAATGTGTAAACCGTTTAAAAGATTCAAGTGAAGTGTTGATCGAATTGTTAAACCGGTCAAAGGTTAAAAATGTGAATTGTCCGGTTTAATCTAAATCGAATGACAAAGAAAGTGAAGTGGTGACCGGATTTGTAAACCGGACAAAGATGGTTTCAAAGTGTTTTGACCGGATTTCTAAACCGGATAAAGAGTTGGTTTATTTTCAAAGTATGTTGTCCGGACTTCTAATCCGGACAAGTTTGACCGGACTTCATATCCGGATGAAAAGAGTTTATTTTTGGGAAATGATTTTGTCAAGATATATTGGGCAGTGTAACTGCGATGGCGGTGTAATCGCGAGTGAGATGGCGGTGTAACCGCGAGAATGATATAATGGCGGTGTAACCGCGAGAGTAATATTATGGGCAGTGTAACTGCGAGTGAGATGGCGGTGTAACCGCGAGAGTGATATTATGGGCAGTGTAACTGGGAGTGAGATGGTGGTGTAACCGCGAGAGTGATATTATGGGCAGTGTAACTGCGAGTGAGATGGCGGTGTAACCGTGAGAGTGATATTATGGGCGGTGTAACCGCGAGTGAGATGGCGGTGTAACCGTGAGAGTGATATGATGGCAGAGTAACCGCGAGAGTGATATTATGGGCAGTGTAACCGCGAGTGAGATGGCGGTATAACCGCGAGAGTGATATAATAGTGGTGTAACTGCGAGAGTGATATAATGGCGGTGTAACCGCGAGTGAGAAAGAGATAGGAGAATGAGATGGCGGTGTAATCCGCGAGAAACATAAATATACTTATGTTTCGGAACAGGTTTGATTCTAAACTGAATGTTTGGAATATATATTGTTGTATGAGMTTWTACACTCACTWGACCTTTTGGTCTAACGCTCAGATGTTGGATTAACCTGTTTTGCAGGACAGCGTGTTCTGAAAGATAAAGGCAAGGGAAAAGTTTAAATGTTGATATTAGTTTGTTATGCATATGTATTAAAGATACATTTTGATAGTTCATGTTTTGTAATAATCCTATTTTAGTATTATGAGAATGATGATGTGAATTATATGTATTTGAGATGTGAGGGTTGTTATACCTCGGATACATTGCTTGACTCCTAAACACAGAGGTTCTGCATTATACATGCAGAGCCTCTGGGTCTCCTACTTTTCCATCTGCGTGAAGGTCCCACGACTCCTCTTATAAGTGTTCCATTGTCTGTCTGACACGTATTCATAAATGATTATTGCAATCAGACACGTGGAGGCAGAACAATGGTGGATGCATTGACTTTGCCAAAATGCAAAATTATGGAAGATTCCTTTTTTGGATACGCCTATAAAAGGATATTTCCTCTAAGGATATATTTACCAATTCATAAAAAGAGAAGACGCGCTCCTGCCTAAATTAGAGAGATTATTTTGTGCACTTGTGAGAATTAGCTTGTTGAGAGATTTTTCTATAAACACATTACTATGTGTTCTTGGTGTTCTTGTAATCTCTTCAAGCATAGTAAAATACAGCCGACTTGACTACTTCTTCAAATATCTAGGTGTTTCAGTCATTTCTATTAACCGTTCTAGTATTATTCCAATTGCTTCCACTTACAAGTTAACTTAAGCAGTAATTACTAGTGCATCTGAGGATCTGGGTTCCTACAAGCTTTATGATTGTCAAACAATGTCATAGTATTGCTTGTTGTTTTGCCTAAGTTTTGTTATCTAGTATCAGAGTCTACAACTAAATGCCTAGAAAACCTTGATATATTATTCATCATACATTTCATATACTCTTTTGATTATTCAATACACATTAATTTTATCTATATATTCCAATATAGTAGATTTCTTGCTATTAATTAAGAAAACTCCTACCTTTGAAAAACATTACCACCCATATGAGCCGGTTCAACTTATATCTATATTTATTTAAAAATTACCCTTGTCTTTATATACATTATTGACTTTTTATTACCAAGTATTGTGTTAGACCCCATCGTGTAAAAGTGTAAGTGAGAAGCCTCTTACTCTAGTCTATAGGACTTAGTCTATTGAAGCTGTCTAGACTAAGAGCTCTCATGCAGAAGAGATCAAGAGACAGAGCTCTTACTCAAAGAGCCAAGCGTCTCACATACAGAGTCCGTGCTCTATTCCATGGAAGATCAAGCCTTAAGCACCAAAAAGGTTAAGTGCTTGATACAAAGCTACACTCCTGACACAGAACCTCTGCATAGTACATGCAGAGCCTCTGAGTCTCCTACCTCCATGGAAAGGGCACATAGTTCTGACATTCTCGCAAGCGTCTAATAGAATCAAGGTGACTTGACTTAGTCCGCTCCACTATTCAAGGATCGTAAATGACAAGGATGCGGAATAAGCTCTCAGAGATTCAAGCCAAGATTCTAGCATATTCTGTTTGACTTAGGCCTATATAAGGAGGCATCCTCCTCAGGTTACGTTTTACCTGAGAGTGCCGACTTAGACTATAGCCAAACCTTGTGAGAATACAAATTAGATTGAGAGTTTCCTTGTGTTTTTTTCTCATCTAATAAAAGCATCCGACGTATTCAAGTTCATACTGTTTTCTTATCTTTTACTAAATACTTCGATTGACCTTTCAGTTACACTACTTTTACTTCATTTATATTCATTCAACTGTGTTTTCTGATATTAAGAGAATCTGGGTTCCATCATATTGAGAGCATGAATTTTAAGTATTATCCTATCTCTAAAACAAGAAAAAAGTATCAAACTATAAGCAACATGAGCTTTTGATTATAAGATTTATGGTTTTGAAAAGTTTGTTTTAAACCTAAAAGTTTAAAATGGTGATGAAAAACATTAACCTAATTACTCTGAATAGTGAACAATTTGACCCCAAATGACGTTAATATATATGTATATATATCAAAAATATATATATCATGGGATATTAATTTAGAAATAATTATCGATTGATTTTGCATGTAGGAATACTCATAATGACGGTTTTATATGAATTATTTGTATTTCTTCAATTCAATGTTATTTATAAAAACGATATATTAAAGGTCTTTTTTCTACATATCGAGAGCCCTTTTTTACATCTCACACAAGGCCTATAAAATGTCAGGAAGGAGTCTGTATATATATGCACAAAACAATTGTCCAAGTGATTGATTACTCCTAAAATTCTAGGACGATAACTGTTGTGAAGTGATGGATCAATCACAATTATTGAAAATGTATGTGGAGAAACCCAAGAAATTCAAGGGTTCGGACTTTCGCCGTTGGCAACAGGAGATGTTGTTCTATTTAACAACACTTCGTGCTGCCAACATTCTCATTAAGAAAGAGCCACCGACAAATCCTCCGGTTGGGCCAGATGGGGATGCTCCCATGCAGATCCAAGTGGTTGCACATCAAAATGTTTTCGAGATTTGTAGATCAAATAAGTATAGTTGCAAAAACTATATTCTAAATGCACTTAATGATTCTCAATACAATATCCATTTTGCATTCCGAACGGCAAGAGAAATATGGGAATCCTTGGACGCGATATACAAAACTAAAGTGGTGTTCTCCAAGAGGTTCACAGTGGATAAATTCTTACATTACCATATGATTGACACCAAACCGATGGTGAAGGAAGTGGAAGAATTGCAAGTGCTAGTCCACGAGCTCGAGTTTAAAGGTATGGGCTTGAATACCATCTTTGTGGTTAGTTCAATAACCAAGAAGCTACCTTCATTTTGGAAGAACTTCAAGTTATATTTGAAGCCTCTTATGGAAATAATCGTATTTGAACAATTGCTCCTCAAAATACTAGTGGAGGAGGACAACCGACTCAATGAGAAAGTCGGTGCTAATGTTATTGAACCACATGCCATAATGATTGAAGGCAGTTCATCTAAAACTAAGTTCCTAAAATTCAAAGGAAAAAAGCAATGCACCTAAGAGGCCTTTCAATGCGGGAAAAGCCCTTTTAGCCCCACAAAAGAGAACCTTCAAAAAGTGTGTCAATACAAGCTTGATCATGGTGGCACCGGAGGAAGCCGAGACACCGAGCCAAAGAGTGTCAACACAAGCTTGATCATGGTGTCACCAGAGGAATTCGTAGTAGAGGATTTGAGGAATCTACAAGTCATGCTAATCTCATCTACTCCCCGAATGATTTTTTTAGGGTAATTGAAGCTCACATGATCACAAATACAATGGATTAGTGGGTAGACACTGGAGCCAGCTTTATATCTTCAATCTAGAGAGCTTGTTTACATCTTACCAAAAAGTGAGCGAAGGGGAGCTGATGTTTTTAGGGAATTCCTAGACTGTAAGAATGGAAGAAAAAGGGAAGGGCAACTTGAAACTAACTTCCGGTTAGGATCTAATGTCGAATGATGTTGTACATATACCTAATTTAACTAACAATTTGATTTTTAGCGTTGTTCTTAGCAAGAAAGGGTTCAAACTTATATTTGAATCTGATAAATTAGTCATCATCAAATATGGTGTGTATGTTGGGAAGGGCTACCTCCATGAGGGGCCCTTCAACTTAAGCGTTGTAAATAACCTTGATGCCGCCATTGTACATAATAAAAATAAAGCAGACACTAACATTGCTCCTGTGATAACCGGATTTCGGTTATATATCTGGAGGTAATTATTAAATTATTTGGTTACACGATTATTGGTTATGTAATTAATTGTTTATAATTAATCTTTAATGTGGGTGTATGCATACATGTGTTTGTTTGTGAGTTATGTGCATATTTTTAAATATGCATGCGTACGCATGATTGTGTGGAAGTGGGGTTTTTATTATATTAAACCTTCCACCGTCTCTTATGGGTTATTATTTTAATTAAAAAGGAATGACATAAGTGTTTTATCTCATTGGTAAGTGTGAGATATTTTGATTTTAAAACAATGTATCTCCACTGCCTCTTTTGATTAAAAATAAAAGGTGTGGATAAGAAATCCATCTTATCTATGGTTTTTTGGAGAGAAAGGAAAGAAAGAATCCTTTTGTGTGTTCTTAAGAGATTTTTATGTGGTTTTTGGTAAAAAGAAGAAGAAGATGATTTTGTGATATTATTTGAAGTTGTTGTTGTGTGATACATCTTCAAATACGTGCATAAGGTAAGTTTATGTTATCAAATTCATTTATTTGATGTTTAAGTTAATGAACCTCCTGGTTCATATGTGGGAAGTTGATAAAAGATTTGTTGAAAGTTTTTTGAGTTTAATGGTGAATTTGGTATAAGAATTTTAGGGTTCTTATATGAGTTTCTATTTTGAAACGGTTTGGTTGCCAACTTTGACAAAGAAAAAGGAGGATTTGGGTCATGATTATATCATGATGTGTTGTATTAAGGGTGGCACAACAACGAGTTGCGTACATTGGTAATAAGGGTGACACAATCAGGAGATGAGTACATTTGAAATAAGGGTGGCATAATCAGGAGTTATGTACATTGGTGATAAGGATGGCATAATCTATGTTTTGGAAGTGATGATCTTTTGATCATGGGTTTTGTACCACATTCTTGTAAGCTTATAATCTTAAGTTATCATATATATGTGATATGAGGACTTAGGTTATCACATCCTATAGGTGTGATGAAAAGGAGTGTTTGAGGACAGAGGCTCTGGTTGGTCTTTGTGTGGAACCAGAGGGCCTCTAGTTGTATGTAAAACTTTGGTCCTTTCAAAATATTCAATTTATCTTGAATTAGAGACTTTGCATGTGCTATGCAGAGGCCTTGTATTCAAAATTTGAATTATATGTTCAAGCTTTGTGTTTTAAACTATTTTCAAAGCTTCATTTTCATATTAAACACTTAGAAGTCAAAACATAGTTCAACTAGAGGGGCGTTGGTTGTCTAGAGGACTTCTGGTTGACATGACTTTGGGTGGTTTTCCTTTAAGTTCTTTGGCAAATGAACCAGATGGGCTCTAGTTGATCTTCATAATTAACTAGAGGGCCTTTGGTCATATATTAAGTCTGTTATAAGGTTTGTTTTTAAATGTATCATCTTTGGTTAGGCGAACCAGAGGCTCTGGTCATCCAGAGGACCTTTGGTTGGTTGTGGTATTTTGGGACTTGTTTCTAATTAAATTATGTATTTTAAAAGTATTTAATTTGGATAAAAGTATTCTAGAGAAGCTCTAATTTGTCTTGGACTTCTGGTTGAGTTGGAAGTCTAGGACCAGAGGTTCTGGTTAGTAGGACCAAAGGTTCTGGTCGTCCGGAGAGCTTCTGGTTGGGCTTTGCATTATATTTGAAAATTGATTTTGATCAACTTATTGTTGTCTTATTTTAAAATATGTTGCTCTAGTTATTAAACCAGAGGGGCCCCTGGTTGTTGAACCAAAGGGGCTCTGGTCCTTATGGGACAGAGTGGTTCTGAATGGTCTCGCACAGTGTGATGCGAGGAGTTGAGAATCTTGCATCCTATATGGCAAGGAAGATTTATAAATCCTTTTTTGGAAGGTGTTATATAAGTTACAAATATGATTTTAACTGATTTTGGTGATCCTTCACCCTGTAATTGCAAAGAAAGGGTTATCTCACTAGACCTTTTGGTCATACCCTCATTTTATGTTTTAAAATATGCATTGTAGGATTAGCAGGGTCTCGGGATAGTAAATGGAAGGGAAAAATATGATTATTTTCCTTATATGCTTATCTGCTATTTTTGAAGATCAATCTGTTCATTGATGTATTTTGAAGATACATGTTGTGATACATGTGATAGTACAAGAACTTCATTTTGGAATTTTTGAGTTGAAGTTTTCTGTAACATAAGTTTCTTGTACTAGTGGGACCTATGTGGTGTAATTTGTATTTCTTTTATATGAAGTACATGTTATATGCAAATGTGAAGTATGGGGTGTTACAGCTCCTTCAGTGTACATGATTGATTCTTCCTTTCTTTGGCATATCGAGATTAGGACATGTCAATTTTAGATTAATACAAAGAATGATTAAACTAGACATGACACCTAAATGTTATTTTGTTAAAATGACTAAGTGTGAGGTTTGTGTGGAAGCTAAAGACACAAACTATCCACGTTGAAAAACCGAATGAAGTATTTGGGTTGATTCAAAGTGACTTATGAGATTTTAAGAAAAATCCTATATGTGGAAGAAAGAACTATTATATTTCTTTCGTCGATGATTATGGTAAGTATTGCTATGTCTATCTTTTACATACGAAAGAGGAAGCTTAAACATGTTTAACACATACAAGGTTGAAGTTGAGAACCAACTTGATAAGAAAATAAAAACTCTAAAGTCAGATCGCCCAAGGAGAATACGAGTCCATGACTTTGAAGAATTTTATGTTATACATGACATAGTAAATCAAACTACCGCTCTCTACACTCGACAATCATGTATAGTGGTCGAGCAAAAAATAGAACATTAAAGAACATGATAAGCTCAATGTTGATCATGTAGGGAGCTCCGTACCATTTATAGGGTGAGGAGTACCTTACTGCTAATATGATCCTGAATAGGATCCCCCACAAGAACAGTGACAATTCCCTTGTCAACTTTGGAAAGGGGGATTACCATCCTACGAAAGGATGAAAGTGTGGAGTTTCCTTGCCAAGGTTCAAGTCCCTTTACCAAAAAGGACTAAACTTGGACCTAAAACGGTGGATTGTGTATATATTGGACCAACAAAGAATAGTGTTGCATTAAGATTCTTACTATATAAATATAATGTAAATGACATAAGCAACAACACAATCATAGAATCTGCAGAAGTAGAATTCTTTGAGACTACCTTTACTTACAAAGAAAAAGATGATCAAATCTCTAATTCGAGGAAAATGTCATATGGTGACACATACATTCATCTAGAATCAAACTAAAATGATCAGGAAAACAAAGGGGAATCCTCCACGGTCCAAAAGGAAGCAAACAAGGAGAAGCAAAAGAGGCAGAGCTGACAAAGACTTTGGATCTGACTTTATGGCCTTTAATGTTGAAGGAGAACCTTTATCGTATAAGGCTACCATGGAATCATCTGAGCAGCTTATTAGGAAGAGGCAATCCAAAAGTGAGATAGACTCCATAGTACAAAACAATACATGGAGATTGGTTGACTTACCTCGGGTCATAAGGTAATTGACCATAAATGAATCTTCAAAAGAAAATTGAGAACCAATGGCACTATTGAAAAATACAAAGCTCGAGTAGTAGCCAAAGGCTATCGACAAAAAGAAGTCAAGACTTCTTTTATACATACTCTCTGATTACAAGAATAACGTGTATAAGAACATTGATGGCCATAATAGCGATTCATAATTTGGAAGTACACAAAAATATTTCAAAAATGCTTTCTTGAACGGTGAATTCGATGAAGATATTTATATGCAAGAACTGGAAGGTTATGTTGTCAAATGTCACAAATACAAAGTATGTAAATTGATTTAGTCCCTTTATGGACTCAAGCAAGCACCAAAACAAGAGCATGAAAAGTTTGATAATACACTTACATCAAACAGACTTCACATAAATGAGCGTGATAAGTTTGTTTATGTGAAGAAATACAAAAATGCATGTCACTATATACCAATACGTAGAGATATGTTCATCTTAGGATCGAGCTTGAATGTATTCAATCAAACCAAGAAGATGTTGCACATCTCGTTTCATATGAAGGTAATGGAAGTAGTAGACATGATCCTTGGTATAAAAATTCAACGAAACCAAATGGTTACATCAATCTCACTAGATTGAGAAGGCATTCTGAATGTTCGGTCACTATGATGAAAAACTGGTTGTGACTCCATTTGATCCTTCTAGCCAATTGAGGAAGAATCAAGGAGATAATATGGCTCAATTAGAATACACTCAAGTTCTTGGAAGCTTGATGTGTATCATGAACTGTACATGACCAAACATAGCATATAGTGTGAGTAGACTCGGTTAATACTCACACAAC